AGTATGTTATAAACACAATATTTAAAAACATATAATATTGTTAAAATAATATTATAAATCAACAGTTTGGAAATAAAGCAACTTTCATCCTAAGTAACAGCGTCTACAAAGAGTAGGGCCACAGATATAAATCAAACTCAAAAGGGAGCCATGAGCAAAAAAAAAAAAAAAGTTTGAGAAATGCTGGATTAAAATATGAATTTTTTTATAGGTTTACCTTTGCATCCAACATTTCAGGTTATTACTTTTGTCTTTAATGATCCCACCAACTTTCACAGAAAGGTCCTGGAAGTTAAAGGCCAAATAACCCCTTACCCTTGCAGTGATTTCAAAGGGTAATGCCAAGACAGGAATCAACTAGGAGGTTGTCTAATGTCCAATGATAATGCATGCTAGCAGAAAAACACAGATTGAAATAATCTTGTCAAAGGATGGAGCTGTAGGAGCTTCGAGTAGGAAAACAAAATAATACTCACATAGTTGAACAGGTATAGATGTCTGTTTCATAATAAGTAATAATGGAATGCATAAATATGTTTCAATATCTGTTTGGTTTCTCGCCATAGTGATGTCTTCCAGCAATTTTACAAGCTGCATCTTCTTTTCATCCTTACATTTTTTAACATGGTTGTGAATATTATTAATGAGGGGTGTGAGCCTTGATATTGACCCACAGCACCTCAGCATTACAGACTCTGTTATCTTGGCACTTATCTTCAAAATGGGCACAGGTACAAGTTCCACAACAGAAAAGCTTGAAATTTATTGGTAGTTTAAACATATAACAATACTGGGAATATCCAACCATACTAAATAATTCAGATAATCTGTTTGAGAATGGCAAGAGGACAGTTCCGATTTCTTGTTTTTACTGACTGAGGTTTCCTTAACAGTGGTGACACTCTAGTCCTACAGCTTGGAAATAATTCACTACTTCAAGCTACTAGAAGTATATCATTGGTAAATATCCTTACTGGACATGTTCCACATATTATGGAATCCCCCAAAAAACTATATCCCCTGATCACTTTTTTCTTCATAAACATAAGGGAACTAATGATTCCTTCTAAACCCTTTTGGATAAAGACAGATGACATTTTATCATAAGTTTGTCCAACAATGAGTAGATGGATGATATGTAAAAGGCATAAAAGTGCTTTTCTATGACTTCAATGTGAGGCCTCTTGAAAGCCATGCTTAAAATTTAGAAGTTGAAGTTGCCATGACAGTAGAGTATATAAGGAGCAGTCACACTGATGCTAGTTTCATGCACAACATACCCAAACACAATGAAGGTACTCAGTTGACCTTAGTTACTAGTGACTAGTAAACTATTCCAGACAGGGGCACCCTTTCCACAGGAACTGAAGACAGAGACTGTGTGTTGTATCAACTCACACATTATATACAACCCAAGATGTACTCAACTACCAGGATCCTTTCCTCTCTTTTACAGATCATCAAACATGACAATCACATGGGTTGATGTTTGAATCCAACAGGAGGTAAATTACACAAGCAGAACCTAAACTGGGAGGTCCCCTCATCATGAACAGGAACTCAAGGAGGAAAATAAAAATATATTTATTTATAACTAGCTGGAATACACATCCCCTGAATGAAAATTATGTAAACTCATCATTAATGAAAGGTTATTTTAGGACATAAAATGTTGTTTTCCTTATAAGTAATTGTAAAAAATGCAAAAATGCCCATAAAAACTGCAAAATACAAAATGTAAAATTGCAATTTTCCATGTATCTCCGCGTGGACCCAACAATCCTTCATGCCAATCCATCTACAGGGGGTGAAGTAGTGGTAAAAATCTAAAAAATGACCATAAAAATTGCAAAACACAAAACAAAATTTGTATGCATCTCCCCATAGACCAATGAACCTCCATACCAAATTTGGTGAATATCCATCCACACCCTGCAAGTATAGTTACATCGACATACAACATACAGTACTATTATATTTATATACACAGCATGGTCCCAAGTAAATAGACACCACCTTTTCAGAAAAAATTAAATTTTTCAATCATATTCACATGAATTGATATATTTATAATTTATTTAATAT